GTCTGTTCTCCCTGTGTTTATCCCACCCACCTCCACCATTTCACTGAGCTTTTGAGAAGGTTCTTTTCATAAATACCAGCCTGGCTCGCCTGGATTTAGGGAAACAATTAGATAAAACAGCAAGTTAGACCAGGAGAACTGAGGCCCCCTGGTGGACAGATGTGGTAGTAACCACAGGCCGTTCCAGGGGGAACTAAGAAACTGGACAAAGCCAGCGGAGTGCGACAGGTGAGGCCCCAGTGCTAGGAAGCTGGAAAGGACAAGTATTTCCTTCTGTCCAGATTGTCCCATTAGCAGGTAGGCATTATCATCACCCCTCTTATTCGGATGAGAGAGCTGAGGTTCAGAGGCTAGATCTTCAGACTCATAGTCAGATGGCCTGTTAGCGCAGTGTGTTAGAGCCTGTCTCTGGAGTGAAACCAACAGAGCCTCAGTAGAGCATTCTCCCTGCTCCTGCTTCTGCCCCTCCATAGTAAGGGAGGGAAGATGAAGATGCTAAAACAATTAAAGGGAAGGTTTACATAGGGCTTGGATGCCCAGAAAACAGGAGGAGAAAATGTGAGCACATAGAACCAAAAATCCAGCACCCTCTCCCCTTGTGAGACTTGGTCAAAATTACTGGCCACCTACCAACTGCTACAATGAAGGGAGGCTTATGTCTTCACTAGAAGGCAACATTCTGGTTGTCTTGAGGTTAGTCTTGCCTGCTTTCCCAATACCCTCTTTTAGAAAAAGAGTTTTCTGTGGGTGGAGGAGTTCCTAGGGGCACATAAGAATACTCCTGAAATCAAATAAATGCATGAAGGATTTTGAGACAAACAGAAATTCTAATGCAACTCCCCACGTAGAGCAGAATTCCCTCTACTGCATCCCCAACGAGAAGTTCAGTCTTCGTATAAACAATCCTAGTACCATGTAAAGAGTACACCTCTTAAAATAGCCTGCTGCATTTGGGCTCTGTTTATTACAAATGCAAACCTCTGCGGGAATTTTATTTCTGTCCAGCATTCAAAACCCAGCCAGAGAGTGAGTCCCCCTGGCTAAGCCTGAAGGGTTAGCAAGACACCCTGAGGACCACAGTTGTTCATGTTACAGACTTTTCCTTAGAAATCGAGCAAGAGTTCAGGGGGTAGCAGGAGAAAAACTTTTCTACAAAGACTGGCTTTTATTCTGCTTTCTCATACAAGCTCATTTCTCCAGCCTTAGAATTCAGCTGCCACTAGCATTTCATACCCATGCAGAAAATTTACCTCTTTTGTGGCCCATGAGGGGCAGGACATATAGAACAATAGTCTTCCAGCTATGACGGCTGGGAAGGGCTTTTACGTGTCAGCTTGTGCTATCAAGTACAATTTTTTTAACAAATGTATTTTATCAACTAGTAATGAAATTGATGACATCTTTATAAAATAATCTTTCCTAGAATAACTGATTAAAAGCTTTCTAAAGTCTAGGGTCTAGTTCTCATTCATCTCCTAGTCTCAGTCTCCTGCTCTTATGTCAGAATTTCACTGTCTCTCATTGAGCCACTCTCCTGCCTTTGCTTGTCTCCGGTTCACCGCACTTAAACACTACGATTCATCCAAGAGTACACTGCATGTAATATATTCTGCTTACGATTCGTCTGGTTGTTTGGAATGGGTAAATTTGAGTTGCCTGCTCTCATCTCCTTCCCCACTTTTCTTTCCACCCATTCTGAAACCACAGTCAAATGGACGATGGACCCTCTTGCTCTGTTCATTGTGTCTCTTATCCTCTCTTCAATTTTTTCCATGTAATTTGTTTTCCAATGCATAATTCTGGACAATGTCTTGTAATGTATATTCCCAAGTCAGTAATTCCCTTTTTTGTGTGTTTAGTCTTCTGTTCAACCCAACCACTAAATTCTCAAGTTTTGTTAGTAGGGTTTTTAGTTGTAGACGTCTTGTCTCGATTCTGTTGAAAACTTGCTATATCACTTTTTATGATTTCCTGCTCATCGAAGTTATTTCCAGGCTTGTCCTTTATTTTGTGAAATACAATAAATCAGTTATTGTAGCCTATATGTCACGTAATTTTGATATCTGAAGTCTCTAGGTTTATTTTTGTTTTTTACTGGATTTCCAGTGTATTTCCCATTTCATGTGAAGTTATCTTTGTGCACTGATATATTATTGAAAAAATTATTTATATTAATGACTCTAAGCCCAAGATGATAACACCTTCCTGCAGAAAGTATTTTCATTGGCTGTGATATTTTCAAATGTATGGGGACACTCTCTGAGCAAGGCCACTTCAAGCTAAGAGCAGGGTGTCAGAGTCCCTGGACTAGCCAGGTGATCCCTACCTAGACAGGAAAGCCCAGCAAGAACTGGTTACTCCTAGGTCACTACCATCCTGAAAAGGGGGCAGCTGCTCAAGGTCTCAGCCGAAAGTGGCACGAGAGCTTACCAAATATACTACTTGTTTAGGCCTTGAGCTTTGAATTTTGTCCCTGTTGCCCATGACGCCACTAAAACCACAACTCACTCTTTTTCCAGATTCAGTAAATGCCCTTGGGGAGGAAGTGGCTTTCAGTGCTCCTCTCTCTGGGTTCTTGTTTTCCGGCTTCCGGCCTCATTATCTCTTAGCTCTGTCTCTCTCTCCATTTCATCCAGTTCAGTTAGCTGCACTCACTGGGACAATCAAGCCCAATTACCCAGCTGCCGTTCCCAGAAGCAGAGGTACACAGCACCCTTCTAACTGCTCTCCTTACCCCCGGTCTCTTCCTTCCAGCTTCCCACTCACAAAGTAACCGAAAGACCTTTCCAAGGCGCCCCTCTGATTGTATTATTTCCTTGCACTCATCTTTCCAAAGCTATCTCTACAATAAAAACCAAATTACTTAGATTGAACAATTAGATCTCAAGCTCTCTTTCTTGCTTTATTTAACAAGTATTTATTCTACACTGCATAGCACACTGAGCGTGTGGCACTCACTAGAAGTAGCTCTGCCTAATCTCCCCTTTCTTACTTGTCTCACTTCTCCTCTGCCTGCTGAGCTCTCCAATGTCCAGTGGTGAAGCTGGGTCAGAACACAGAAGGGTAATTTCCATGATCCCATATTCAGTCCAGGTATTTATGGATATTGTCAAAACTGACTAGACAAAAGCTCAACAAGTACAAATTATAGTGCATTGTTCTGTTTCTTGTTGCATTTGTGGCTGTTTGTCTTGTGAGTCAGAAATTTCAATGAAGCGTTACCTCTAGGGAGAACAGACATAGGGGAGGGTCCTCTGGGACTGTTAAGTTCTGGAACTGAATTCATCTTTACCATCAACTTTTCGGCAATCTACACACCCACAAGGGCACCCAGGAACAAAACTTCTTCAGGCTTCAAGCCTGTTTTCTCTGACAAATGAGGAACTGGACCCATTGCCGGCGGAACTTGATTCCTTGCTGCGGGAGAGGACCTGCATCCAAACAAATCTACTCCCACCTGCTGGTGGTTGTCTGAACTTCCATTCAAAATTGCTGTTCTGGAAGCGGGCAAACCTGGAAAAGTTCGGACTCCTTACTGTGTGACCTTTGGTCCATTCCTTTTCGTTCTCTGGATCTCAGTTTCCCCATATTGCAATCCAAGTTGCTACACACAATGAGCTGTAATGGCCCTCATCTCTACAAGGACGCGATGTCTGGGGGAAGAGGGATCACAGGGGTGGGAGTGCCTGGTTGGTTTCCTCTTGCATGTGATAATCGGTGACCTACGGCTCCCACTGCCCCTTTTTCTTGTGTCCCTTTGGGCTGAACGATATTTGCTGCAATAGCAGAGGAAGATGGGAGACCAGAAAGGAAGATGTGGAGATGCTCTGTTCTTCAGAGGAAAGCAGGAAAGGATGAGATACCCTGCTTCTAGGATTTGATTCTAAACCCAGATTTAACCTGGATTTTATTTCTTGTAAAGGGAGAGTAAAGCGTTAAACTTTCAGCTACGCAAAACGTTCAGGCAGCCAAGCACGTGGGGTCCCCAGGTACCCAGGGAAATGGAAGGGGAAGTGCTCAGGCGCGAGTGTTCCTAGCTAAGCAAGTGTGAACTTGGAACCCTCTTTGACTGCAGCCCTTCTCGATGGTTCCATTTGGGAGGTATAGTGATGTGGGGCATGGCTGAGCTCTGTCTGTTCATCATCCATCTGGCCTGCCGGCGCCTTTGGAACTTCTTTGTTTGTCACGGCCCCAAAATGAGAGACAGGGAATTGGGTGCAGCCATTCTGTATCCTTGAGGTAGTTTCCTAAACAGTGGAAAGAGAAAACGCTGGGCTGGGGTTTTATCTGATGTGGGGGCACTGGCGTGGTCTGGCCTCCATCCTAAGCGCTGACCTTTGCCTTCCTTTCCTTCCTTGGGGAAAACACTGTATCCCCTATTTCCAGGCAGATTCCTATCTCGGGGAGGCCCCAACTGGTGAATCCTGTCAGGTTCGTGGGGTTTCTTCCCCTTAAGAACCCAAACTGGGTACAAAGAGCACTCTGGAAAACATGAGTCTTCCAGGAACTCCTGGGCCCTGGGGATGGCGCATGAGTGCTATGGCTGGAGAGGTGTCGCAGGACACACTGGTTATCCCCCTTCCACCCACCCAGAGGCAGGGCACATGGGGCTACTAGTGGGTCAAGCAACCTGAGGGTACTTGCTGGTCCCCAAGGGTGTCCGGGTCTTTCAGAAGGCAGACTCAGTCCCACAGTGAAATCCCCACACTGCTCTAAGCACAGAATACAAAGTCTCAGGTATGAGATCTTCCGAGAGAAATACACAATCAATCGCTTTTTGCAGCGAGCTGCCGCCCCTGGACGCGGACCCCAGGCCGAGCTCCCGCAGCAGGCTCCGCCCAGGCGGCCCCGCCCCTGCCTCGTCGGGAGCGGGCCGGGGCGGACTGCGGCGGCCTAGAGGGGGGGCGCGTGGGCTGGGGCGGAGGCAGGAGCCCGGGCCTTTTTGTGAGGCGCCAGGCACCTGCCGGATTGGCTGGGCCGGTGCTGCCGTCGGAGTGGGCGGAGCCAGCCGCGCGCCCCTCTCGAGCCCAGTCGCAGCCTGGAGCGGTCGCGGACGGAGCGCACCTCGCAGCTGCGTCGAGCGGAGCTGCGTGGCTCAGGGTTCCCGACCAACTGCCCCGCTTCCCGCTCCCTGTGCCCCCGGTAGCTCTTCCGTGGAGGCGACTCTGCGGAAGGGCTAGCGGTCCTACCCCGGGCGACCCGATACCGAGCTGCTGCTCAGCCCAGCCCCGTCCCACCCTCGCCGGCCCGCGGCGCCCTGAGAAACGCAGCCATGGGCTTCCGAGCCACGCTGCGTGTCGCCACGCTCCTGCTGCTCCTCAGGACCTGGCTCGTGGACACCAACAAGCGCAGTCCCAGCCGGAACTCGAACTTCTCCCGAGTGCCCAAAGACTTACTGGACATCTTCAACTGGTAAGCGGGCGCCGCCAGGCTGGACGCCCACAGGCCCCCGGGACCGAGCGGGCGCGGGCGGGACTCGGGGGGCATCGGATCCGGGCTCCCCGAGGGGAACGCGGCAGCAGCGGAAGCCGCCACCGAGATGGAGCCCGAGCCCACCTGTTACTGCGGCGCCCGACTGTGCCCCGCGTGAGCCTCAATCGCAGCCGGCCGCAAGTGGCTTAGCCCTACAATCTGCCCCGCTGTCCCCGAGAACTAAGGACCCGGGGCAGCTTTCCCAGCCGCTCTTTGTGGCACCTGTGGGACAGGGTGACAGCAGAGACACCTGTTTGAATCCAAGGCTAGCTCTAGCGCGTGGGGGTGAGTGCGTGTGTGGTGGGGCGAGGGACTCTTTCCAGGGAGGCAGGTAGGAATTATTAAGTCAGCCTCAGGGAAGCCCAGGCTGCAGGATCTGATTGTAGAACCCTGAAACCTGTGAAAACGTGAGGATTCGGGCTTTTTGCTGTTCGGTTGAAGTTTATGTGGGTCCGTGAACACTCTTTACGCGTGGATTACACACAGTGTGTGTTTGTGGTGGCAACACATTCCGAGCACTGGCACATGGAGAATGTGTCGTCGTCGGAAACAGGCGGGAATACGTTGCTTTAATTCAGGGATAATTCATGGGCACACTTTGGAGTGTTTGAAATGAAATTTTATGATTGAAGAAGATCAAGAATAATTTTAAGTGGTAAACCAGAAATGAATATGTATTTCGATAAAAAGGGGAAGCTGGGGGGGTGAGGATCCAGCAGAAACCCCAACATATCAAACTGCGCCACTGAAGGAACACGCACGCACGCATGCTCGCACGCACCCACATGCACACATTTGCAAGAGAAATGCGTCACAGAGTCACAATGGTGTCCAGGGCCTGTTCTCTTCACCAGCCTTTTGGAGAAAAGAGCCCTAGGTGAATTGTATGAACACAAGAGACCCCGGGAATGGCCAGCTGCCCTGAGTCCACTTCCATTTCCTCACCCAAGGCCCCTCCAGGGGGAAAGCACATGTTCTGTTCCTAGAATTGCTCTTTTGGAGGACAGCTCTGAGCCCAAGAACCTGAAATGCTTTGCTTCACTGAGGGTCATAAATTTCCACTCCATGAACGAGGCTTTCTCTGCATCCTAAGCCATATCCCGAGTTTGAAAAGCAGACGTGTGCAAAAACAAGGTTGACTTAAATGTGGCAAAGGTGCCCAACCTGTCCCAGGTAGGGGCAGATGTGGCTTGGAGCTACAGGATATTGCCTCAGCTCAGGAGGGCACTGAGAGTGGGAGATGACTTTTCCTGGGGCCACCAGGTACCCCTGGAAGGAGAACGGACAGCCACCAGTGTGGAAAAGCAGCATCCAGGCTGATCCCAAGGTGGAGCTCCTTAGGAGCTTGAAGCAATGCAGTTTTCTGAGGTCCGCCATTTGCCCAGGCTCCGGCTCTCCTCTCCTTTGGCCCCCCTCCTCCCCCACCCTCTAGTCCTGCGTACCAGGGATGCAGTCCCCATGCTCCACCCCCCTGATGGAAGATGGGAGGGAGGAGGGGAAGGGAAAAAAAGAGTGCGTCACTGCTGTGCTTCTGGCTGACTCACGGTGAAGAGGGAGGGCAGGGAGGGAGCAGATACATGTGTGTCCCAGCGCAGCAAAGGGAGGGCTCTGGCAAGTCAGCCACTGACCAGTTGGCCATTCTGAACCAGCATTTATTCATTACCTCTGTTTCAGCAAAAATTGTGCAAATCACGCCACTGTTCGAAACATTTTGGACAGGACGCTGTCGAACTATGATGTCCGACTGAGGCCCAATGTTGGAGGTAAGATATAGGTGGACATGAGAGGCTTCTGTGTTAGGTGGAATAGGGCTGAGACACAGCCAGCCTACTACACTAGCTGACCAGCCACACTGCTCCAGGCTCTGGACCTCTGCCTCCCCAAATCCCACCTTTGGGAGCCAAGCCCCAGTGCAGGCTTCCTCCTTCTACCTGGAATTTCTCCTGCTTCCTGCCTCACTCTTAAAAGTCTGGGCAAAGAAGGGCTACAGAATTGGGTGTGGGGGACACAGCGCCTAGCTTCTCAGGATACAGTTCTCTGCTCCATCTGTGGGGAGCACACGTGTTCTTCAATTTGAGCATGTTCTTTGCACCCTGGGCACTCTGTCCATTCAGCTGGCTCAAAATCCCCTCGGGCTGATTTGCCTAACTGCCTTAGACCTCAGGCACTTACATCTTGGCTCCCCTGCCCCAAGCCTTCAGCACCTACCAAGCTCAGCCCCTTCAGACACTGCGCTCCCTGTAACCTTCAGGAGATCTGGCCTGAGCACCACAGGAACCTGGGATAGCCTACTGCCATACAAAACAAACGCCTCAGCCTAGCACTCAGATCTCTAGTGCAGCAATGAAAACTGACGAGGAAACTGGCAAGGAGACCTCCAGGAATCCCTTAGTCAGTTTCTCCCTAGATTTCTGCTTAGTGCCCACCACACAGCTTCAAGTAAGGGCCACTTAACCTGACCCTACATAACACTCAGTGTGAATCTCTGCTCCAGGTGACACCCAGAAGCTTAGGCTAAAGACAGACAAAAGAAAGGGTACAATAGATAGGAATTAGTCACTTTCCAGCTCAAAGGAAGCAGAGTGAGTTAAAAAGCAAGGAGACTAAGTCAAAAGTAGTACCCAGCTTCCTTCTGGAAGATCCTCACAGTAAAGGGTTAATGATGCTGGTGGTTCAGGTTTGTGCATATGAATAGAGGTCTTGGAAACACGCTGTGACCCTGCTTGTTCTGCGAGGCTAAGATATTTGGCATTTGGGACCCCAGGGCTCCTTGCACAGCCTCTCACCTGACAAAGTTGAATTCCTCTCTGCATCTGACATGAATAGAAGTTCAGAGCCGATCTGCCCTTCCCTTAAACACATGCACACATGCACATGCGTGCACACACACCACAAGCAGGGCCTGACCTGTGATCCAGGTCAAACAGGAGCCGTACTACTTACTTGAGAAAGGGGCAGAATGTTGCACAAGGCAGTTCTCTGAGGGCTTCCACTGGTCTGAGACCTGGCCCCAACAGGGATACCGAGTTTGTCAAGTGAATTTTCCACATTCCTTCCTTCATCTGTTCCTTCTCTGGCACTAGAGCTACAGCCTAAGCTGGGGAGGAGGAGGAGTTTCGGGGCAGCAAAAGTTCCAAGAGGGAGGGAGGGAAGTGAGTACCCTAGCCTCTTTTCCTGTCTTCCTCAGTCTATCAGGGGTACAGTGACAGGCTGTAGGGCTCACACCATCCCGGTTTGGGGATCATATCTTCACAAGGGAATGGGAGCTGCATTTCAACTCCCACCTGCCCCTTCATCTGGGGACCTTTGGCCAGCTCTGTGCCCTGCTCTGTAAGGCCCCAGCATTCCACCATCCTGGAAGGGGCTTCCTGTGGGGTGGGGAGGGGGAGATGGAAGGGCAGGGGGGAGGGGGAAGAGAGGGAGAGGGGAGGCGGAGGAGGCAGCAGCAGCTCCAGCTGCCTGGCTCCTCTGGGTCTTGTTGCTTGCCTAATACAGCTTCTGGCCTCTAAGGGCATGTGGAGGGCCTGAATGGCAGTAATCAATATTTGTGTTTCTAGAAACTCCTGTCACTACATAGCACTTTCCTAGGGCTTGGTCACAATAGCCCCCCGAAGGCTGGAGTCTGGGCTATGCCCTAGCACAGAGGCCCATTTACCTCTCAGCTGCCATTCATATGCTTGGCCCCAACAGCACTTTGCTCTTTGAAGCAGTGGGCTTGGAATACCACATTTCCCTTTTTGCAGCTCAGCTTCTGGGCAGTCAGCCTGCAGTCTTTCCCTAACAGCAGTGTGATGCAAGGCACGGAGGAGAATGGCTGTGCTGTGGGGCTGGATGGAGACAGCCTGGAGCTGATGAGGGAACAATAAAAGTGTGTTTGTCTACAGAGCCTGAGAGTTTATTACATATCCCCACACCCATGACCCTATTTGAGTCCTGCAGCTCAGCCTGACAAAACTGGGAGGCACACACATTAACCCGTGGTCACGCTCCCACATGCACTCCCTCCCAAGTGCATGCCCACACATGCATGATCATGCACTCATGTGTACTCACGCATTAACACACTCACACAGGCAGGCATAACCCACCACACGCACATGGACATCAACAGTATTCACTCATCCACAGACACGTTTACAGATACGATCACACACAGAAACACAGAAACATCACACGTAACTGTGCTCATGCATACAAGCACACAAATTCACTAGTATGCATGAACAAACACATTATCACATACACAGACATGCTCACAGTACACACATGGACATATTGATACACTCATACACACAAACATGTTCACATACACAAATCCATTCACATGCATGGGTACACATAATACACACATAAACATGCTGACACAGATGAATGTGCTCGCATAATTCACTCCCATGGAAGAACATGCCCACATACACATTCACTTATGCACATTGACAGAAACATCACATGCACATGCTCACGCATACACAATGAACATGTACACATGCAGTCACAAATCTGCTCATTTTAATACACAATAATACACTTGCAAACATGCTCATATATTCAAATATACTAAAATTCATTCATACACCGAACATACACATTAACACATATAGTTGCACATACACACAAGACTCACACATTCACTCATATAAATATGCTCACAAGAACACACAAATGCACTCACAAACATGAACAAACATTATTACATTCACTCACACAAACATGCCCACATACCCAATTACACTAGCAAACTTTCTCACATTAACACTCACACAAATTTGCTCACACATACATGGACACATTCACGCATTCACTCTCAAATATCCCCACATATGGGACAATACTCAAATTCACTCTCACGTCAACACACACACATGAACACACACATATACAAACATCCCCACATACATAAGCACTCAAAAACATGAAGACACCCTTTAACATCCTCTCATACACATGCTCACACATAAGAAAATACATGAACATGCTCACATATACTAACATTCACTCACAAGATGAAAATGTGCACGTGTACACTCACACAGACAAGCACTGTGCAGTCTTTTGCACTCAAACATGAGCATTCCCTCACAATCATGTTCACTTATTTACTCAAACTCAACATGCATATACATATGAACACAGACACAGCACACAGTGCCCAAACATGTTCACATATACTCATGTCAACACAACTAGTTTACATACATGACCATGCTCACACATTCACTCACACATGGACAGGCTCACAAAAACACAAGTACATGAACAGACTCACAGATACACACATATCCACTCCACACTTACACTCAAATACATGCACATACTAACACATGTATAGACATGTTCACACATTCATTTACTCAGATACATGCTCATGCATCAATCGACCCACAATCACTCGGTCATACTTCCACATGAGTACACTGAACTTAACAGATATGCTGATATGCTCACATATTCACTGCTACAAAAGCACAATAAATATTCAGACACACAAATATATTCAGATATACAAATGAGCTCACAAACATACATGCTCACAATTCACTTGCACATGAACATACACAATCACACAGTCACACAGATACACGCATACCCCTACATTAACATCCACACACCATGTCTACATACTCACATATGCTTGCACATTTACTCCCACACAACATACTGAAGCACACAAGCATGCCCATGCATTCACTCACATATGAGCACACACTGATTCACGTACCTACATGGACATGTACTCACTCATATGTAGAGACAAACTCACCAACACACACAGTCACACATTCACTCCCTCACACACATCCACTTGCACTTGAACACGTTCACACATTTCATCCCACACACACTGACACAAACACGCTCACACATTCATTCATACACAGACATGCTTGCACACACTGACACATTTACCTGCCCCTGAACACACTCAAAAATTCACTTGTACACATGAACATACACATAAGCACAAATCTTGGTTCTTGTTTTGAGGCTCAATTTTTCGTTTTCATCAGAAAATCTTCAGAAAAAGAATACTTTGAACCTTTATTTTCTCTTTGTTTTGCCCTGGCCCCTTCCTTTCAGGATATCATGCACTAGACCTTGCTCTCACTCAGTGATGGCAAACCTTTTGAAGACTTGAGTGCCCAAACTGCCACCCAAAACCCACTTGTTTATCACAGAGTGCCCACACTGCAATTAAACCTGAATACTGAGGTTTTAGTTTAGAAAAAACAACTCATACATTAACATCTTTTGTTTCACAGAAAAACAACACATAGGTTCACCACCATTGCTCTAGGTGCTTGACCTTAATTAACTGTGACATCAGTGCTATCATTATCCTCACTTTGCCATGAAGAAACTAAGGCTGAAAGAAGTTAGATTACTTACTCAGAGCCACACACCTAGCAATTGTCACAGAAGGTTCAAATCCAGGCAGCCTGGCTCCTAAGTCTATGCTCCTAGCCTTTATCCCAAACTTCATGTGTCTTCCTGTATTGTAGGTGCCCCTGTGACCGTGAACGTTGGTATCTATGTCGCCAACATTCGTGAGATCTCGAATAAGAATAAGGTAAGTAGGGGCTGGGGATTTAGCTCAGTGGTGCCACCGCCTGCCTCGAAAGCGCAAGGTCCCGAGTTCAATCCCTGGTACAAAAAAAAAAAAAAAAAAAGAATAAGGTAAGTGTGTCACTTCCAGCCATGGTACGGGGGACAGAGAAAAGACATGGAACAGAGTCATAAGCCAACTCCAGTTACTCTGACCTATAACAGAATTCACATGGAACAGGGAAGGTTCTGAAAATATAGCCCCTAGAATAAAATATAAATCAGTTGAACCCTACATCACACCATATCCAAAAATTAGATTTATGTAAACAAGGGTTAAAATGATGAAAATGAATAACTGATAATTTGAAATAGGAAAAAAGGTCCAAAGACGAAGGGGTGAAGGGAGGGGAAAGGGAAAGGAAAGGAGGGAAAGGAAAAACTATGAGAAAAGAAAAAAAAATGGAAATGATGTCTATGTAAATAGGGAAGGGCGCACAGGTAATGGGGAAAAAATAAGAACCAAGTTACATCATGTACACGTACAAACACCCAAGGATAAATGTAAACGAACTGTATACCTAAAATGTACCAATAAAAGAACTTAAGAAAAAAATATAATAAGGACACAATTGTGATAACAAAAAAAAATTAGGTTTGATTATAAACTCAAAGGTGAAAGGCTTGTGAAGCATTTAAAAGATCATACAGGACACTGTCTTTGTATTTTGAGGTAGATCAAGATTACTTTCAGGGCTGTAGATGTAGGTCGTTGGAGGAGCTCTTGCCTCACATGTGTGAGGCCCTAGGTCCCATCCCCATTACCACAGGACAAACGAAGTGTCTTTTACAAGCCACAGAAAATACCATAAAAATAAGTACTGGTAAGTTGAACAACATTATACTCCTGGGTAACCAAAACTCCTACTGCTTCAGTTTTGCAAAACAGAACCACTGTAATAAGTGTCAAAGGATAAGTCAGCGTGGACTAAGATGTTTGCAAGCCAAAGCACTAACATTCAAAGGACACATAATTCCTGTCAATTAATAAGAATATTTTTTAAATGAACAGAGATGAACGGAAAATGTGAACAGAAATTTTTGTGTGAAGAAAATTAAGTAGCAGATGAAACTTGCCAAGGAAAGTAAATATGAAAAGATAATTGACGTTGGTAGGAATCAGTGCAATGCAGAGTAAGTGAGAAACCAGAGTGCAAAGGGTTCGTGTACTCCAACACCAGTGCTGGTGAGGGGGCAGCACTGGAAGCCTCAATCAGCTCTTGGGTCTTGGCAGGGGGTGTAATTTGGAATTTTCACTTCGTCGTTCTTATAACATCCTCATTTGAGTATGTATGGAGCCTTTATATGATTATATGCATGGTATATGCATATATGGAATCTTCTCCAGAAATGCAAGTAAACAACTTACATATAATTACACACATCAACCAGAGCAGATCTCACAAACATAATATTGAGTGAAAGAAACGTGACAAATACAGACAGTATGATTTCCTTTAAAGTTCAAAACCATAGGTCCAATTAATCATCATGTCTTCTAGAAATACACAAAGAGACAACAGAACTAGCCCAAAGCAAGGGGATTTTCATTCTAAAATCTTGAATGCTGGTTCCTGCAGGGGGGTGTGGAAAGTATGTTCTGAAAAGGTCATATTGGGACTAGAAATGTATTAGTAATGTTGTTTCTTAACCTACATTTTAATTACAGAAGGTTCATTTTGTTATTCTTTCTTTAAAAAGTATATATTTTATACACTCATCTATATGATGTTTCACCACACACACACTCACAGAAGACAGAGTGCTAGACAACCTAAGTCACAATTAGGATTTCCCTTTCTTTTCCCAGGACTACGAAATCACGTTGTACTTTTATCAGACCTGGAAGGATTCGCGCCTGGCATATCATGAGACCAACCTGAACTTGACCCTGGATTACAGCATGCATGAGAAGTTGTGGGTCCCTGACTGCTACTTGCTGAATGACAACGACGCTTTTATGCAGGATGCAACTGTGGAGAAGCGCGTGTTTCAGCTTCACCCAGATGGAACTGTGCGGTATGGCATCCGGTGAGTTCTCCTAGGCATCTAGGGATGTACTAACAGGCTTTCTTCCTCCTGCTGTGTATCCCACGAACACATTCTAAGAGACACGGGGTGTTCATGGCTTTCAAAACTGCCTTGCACTGCCCCTCCCCCACTTCCAGAGTTTCCCATAGAAACCCTCAATGAGTTTCTTTTTCTCTCAAGTGCTCTTGCCCCCTCCCTTCCTTCCTCCCTCCCTTCCTCCATCCACTTTCCCATGAGCCAAGGCTCTGGAGTCCAAGAGTAACAACACTCACAGGGAGCTGACCACTGATCACTCTTATTTAACTTAAAGGGGGCACTGGCTGACTACCGTCGTGTGGGACGTTTATGGAAAGGAGTACAATCAGACACAGTCTCACATATGCATACACACCCCACTCAGGGGACAAAATGGAAGTTGCTTGGAGGAATGACAGGGAGTAGGCTGGGCCGAAGGCTGGAAGGGGTGGGACAGAGCCTTCCAACTGAAGCAGTGGAGAGCTTTTGTCACCCCTGCTCCTCCAAGGCTCCCCTTCAGATTGCTCTCATGGATGCAGCACACAGCAACCTAAAGCTCCTGCCCACTTGACTTGCTGTTAGCCCTTGCCTGGCCAAGCATGGGTATGTCCCCACCTGTCCGTTCTGTGCCCACTGGCATCTGGCGAGTTCCTAGTACCATATAGGCTTGCACCTCTGGCATGAGTGCAGATGTGGCCAGAGGTTGGCCACACTATTTCTCACCAACTTACACATACACCAGATATGCAACCTGAATGGCTGCCGGGCAGCAGTTTTCTCTGGATGGCCTTGATGTGTCTTTAGCAAACCTGGGTCTCCCTTCTGTCTCCGCATCCATTCCCTCTAAGGCCCCTCCCACTGTGACATCCTGTTTTTGGTGGCAGTCCCACCAGCTCTTTCTCTCTTCCCTACAAACAGATCAATCTTCAAGGTGACTCTTGCTTCCCACCCCTGCAGTGCCCTCAGCAATGGGTGCTTTCTGGGCTCCACTCACTTTTCCCTTTGGGTTCGTTTTCTCTGACAGGCTCACCGCCATAGCAGCCTGCTCCCTGGATCTGCGTAAATTCCCCGTCGGCAGGAAGACATGCAAGCTGGAGGTGGAGAGCAGTGCGTATTTCTCCTGTGGACGCTTCCTCCCTGCCTGGGGCTGCAGCAGTCAGGAAACCACAAACAAAGTTGACAGTGAGAGGGACAGCATCTCTTCTCCTCCCTCCCCCATTCTCTCTCTCCGAAAGATATAGATGATCAATAGATAAATGATTGACACATGACACACGGGGTGATCAAAATATACAGTGAACATTTAAATCTTAAAAATATATTACAGTAAAAACAAATTATCATGAACCCCCCTCAAAATACCCCCCACTACTTCAAACACACTTATCCCACTGTTCTTGCCACTTTCTGAAGCAGCTCTGGAGTCCTCTTTCCTCAGTGTCTTTATAAGGTCTGACCAAAACTGCAGTGGATGCTGCTGCCGAGCGCCATCCCACAGAAAGGCGGGCTGTAAAAGCACTATGGTGTGTCGTCATCCACCTTAGTCACCGGATCTGGCACTATGTGACTTCTGGCTTTTCCCCAAAGTCAAAATGACCGTGAAATGTAAATATTTTGAAACAATTCAGGACATGGCGACAGCCTCAACAACATTACTAAACACATTCACAAGACAGGACTTCTGGAACTGCTTCAAAGAGTGGCAAGAAGGATGAGAGAAGTATGTTTGAAGCAAAAGCGAGTATTTCGAGGGGAATTCATGACAGTGTGTCCTTTACTGTAATACATTTTTCAAAAATTTCAGTATTCGGGCCGGGGATTTAGCTCAGTGGTTCTGCTGCCTGCCTCGCAAGTGCAAGGATCCAAGTTCGATCCCTGGTACAAAAAAAAAAAAAAATTCAATACTTGTAGCTTCTGATCACACTTCACAGATGACTGACCGGTAGATGTGTATATATGGCATCTGAGACCAGATGGCCTTTAGAAGGTAGCTAGCCCTACTGGGAAATGGTACCTTGCCATTGGACACTTCGGTAACAAGCTTGTGAACAGGAACTCATTATGTCTCTTTCCTGTACTCTCCTTCCGGCCTAAGAAAATCCAGGATGAAAGTTCTCTTTCCAAGTGCTCAAACTCTCTGCCATGCTAGGACTCAGCAAACCACAATGAAGCCCCCTAAATCGCAAGTCCCAACCATGCTTTGGTTTTCACAGACTCCTCTGGTGTGAAATCTGTCTGTGTCTGTTTTCTGACACTATCTATGTTTCTCTCCCCTTCTCAGGTGGCTACACTGTCGAAGACGTCATATTAGCCTGGGATGACAATGAGGTCGGCACCCACACGACTGAGGAGCTGAAATTCCCTGAGTTTAATTTCTACAAGAAGGTGATTACTAACAAGGAGGTGTATTTCTATGCAGGTGGGTCTGATGCCTTCCTTCTCTCCTGTGTCTTATCCCCTCTGTACCCCTATAAACTCCTGTAGGCTTCTGCCTTGGATACCCACACTCTGCTGCCTCTTTCCATTTCCATCATTCTGGACATGTCCAGGGTGGGGGGCCACTTGATGAAGCCTCAGTGGCTCACCTCTGCAAATGCGGAAAGGACGTAGGTGTATTTGCCAGGTTTACAACACTGACAGTGGAAAGCATTCATGCTCACCTCAGGCCCAGCCTCTCACCCTCCATCTATGGGCAGCTTGGAAACATCACTTGTCTGTAACATGGAGGAAGTGAGGAAGTGAGGTGGACAGAGCAGATCTGCTGTCCTTCATGGGGCTGACACTAATGTGTCTCCTTCCAGGTTCCTACATGCGTCTGGTAATGAACTTCCAGATCCAGCGGGAAATTAACAGCTACCTTTTGCACATCTATTGGCCTACTATCCTCTGCACGGTTCTCTCCTGGGTGTCGTTTTGGATGCGCCATGATTCTTCTGCAGCCAGGGTGACAATTGGTAGGTCTCGTCTCTACCCCAGGGAAGAACTTGGGTCATTTTGCTCAGGAAAAACTTGCAAGAAGGAAAACCTAGAGCAGTAGGTGGTTGCACAGGCAAGGGAACAAGGATCTTTCCAATACGTGTGGTACAGGTGCTCAGCCAGTCATACCCAGTGGAGAGACTGACACCGGAGATGGGGTGAAAACATCAGGGATGGAATCTTGGCATGTTGGGGCCAAAGTTCCATTATTCATTATTTATTGAATACATAAGTATAAATAAATTTAGACCAGAAATGTGATACCACAAACACTGGTTGAGATGTCAAAATCTCCTGGTAAGCAGCAGGGCCTCCAGAGGAGCTGCCCTTGACAATGGAATGTGGAGGTGCCAGCTAGCAGAGTCCAGAGGAGGATGTGACCCAGCTCCTGGTGGCTAAAACTGCATCAAAGTGTTGTTTGAAGTGAGTTTGAGGGATTGCAGAAAGCACAGGTACAAGACTTGGCATTCCCCAAAGAGGAAATAGCAGGATTAAAGACATAGGGGCCCTAAAAGTGGGTTAAATCACAAGATGCCCAGGGCAGGAGCTAGGCAGGTGAGGAAAGCAGCAGAAAGACAGCCTGGGCGGACTTGGGAAGACCTTGAACTTCATGCCTAAGCATGGGGAGCCTTGAGGGGGTTTTGAGAAAGGAGTGCTTAAGAGTGGTTTGTCTTCACCATCTTTGGAGGCCAAACTCTTCCCTGTCTTTCTTTAGTAGCATATTCTGGACCAAACCTTGATAAGTGTGCAATATTTTTAGGGTTCCCAAAACTTCCCCAGTTACTTAAGGAAGAATATGTATTGGAAGGCAAATAGGGCAAGGTGGGACTTGTTCAGCCATGGCTAAAGATTTGGAAGTTGATTCTCAGAGCAAGGAAGTCATCAAACCAGTGAACCATCGGATGGGTTTAAACGTGGGGAAGAGGGAACGAGGAGAATGCGTGGGCAGAGGCCCACCCAAGAGACGGCCTTTTCTCCCTCCCCATGGGACGTAGCCCCAAAGGCTTGCCAAGAACTTCAGCCACCAAAGGAGACTTAACCTGTGCTGTTATTTATAGGCCTAGCTTCCATCTTTATCCTGATCACCATCGACTCACATCTGCAGAATAAACTCCCCTACGGTGCCTACATCAAGCACATCGACATCTATGTGCTTGTGTGCTTATTCTTCGTGTTCCTGTCCTTGATAGAGTATGCCTACGTCAACTACCTTTACTGCAACAAACGACTTCGCCAGCGTAGACAACGCAGGAGACTCAGGAGAGTCATTGCCCGCTACCTCTACCATGATGTAGTGGTGAGAAATGCGCAAGTTTGACTTTTTGACTGACAGTCAGCTTTCCCTGAGCACCTCTTGATTCCAGGCTGGCCTCTTGACCCTTCCACACCTTGATCCTCACACCCATGCACAGCACACACCCACAACAGATAAAGAAGCAGGACTAATTCACCATCACTCTTTTATAGATGACCATTGTCCAGCGTCACAAGGCAAGAAATGGCAGAGCTAGATTTCTCCAGATCTTTGAGACAAATTTGTTCACATTGCTTGCTTCCAGGGCAGGTGACAAGCCAGAAAGGGAAGGTGGGCACAGGGAGGCTGAAAGGAAGACAGTCACCAGACAGGCTGGCCTGCCCCTCCTCCTTCCTTGGCTCTGCAGACTCCCAAGGCTGTGCTGAGGCCTTTGCCTCAAGCAGTACATTACTATCCAGCACAGCACTTAGGCTGCTGCCATGACCTCCCCTGCATGCCAACAGCCTATTTGTCCTCTTCTCAGCCCCTTGAGCTCCACAGACCCAAGAGGAAATGGTTGTGTGTGTCAAAGAGATCAACAGTAACACTGCCAGTGCTGATGAGGAAGGTCCCCTCCCCACCCCTCCCCCAGTACATAGCCACCTAGGTGATAAGAAACTGATGAGCCTATCCATTATCTCCTCAAAGGATGGCCTGATTAACGTGGAAAAAGAAGTCGGCTCTGGCTCCCTTCCCACCCGCCCTGCACAGGCTGGCCTGGCGAGCCCCGAAAGCCTTGGCTCTTTGGCGACCATCTCAGAGCAGGCCCCACTGGCCACCTCCGAAGGCCTCAGCACACTCTCTTCCCTCTCCAGCCTGGACCAGCTGGAGGCTGGAGAAAACCTGAGCTATCTCCCCTCCACCTCCCGGCAGGCCCTGCCTGGCTTTAATGGTATTATTGTTCCTACCAAAATCCGCGTCCGCATCGATGCCCACATCTCTATGGAGACCTGTGACAGCAATGAGGATGATTCCAAAGATGAGAGCCATGGCCGTGGCCCCAGCAGGAGGCCCAGGCTGGCCCGTGGCCAGCGGTGTGTGCAAGAAGCAAGCCAGGACCCTGATGAGATTGAGAGCTTACAGGATGACATCAGTGTCAACAGCAGCAGCCTTGACCTGGGAGAGCAACTTGAGGATGACACTGACAGTATCTGGAGCATTGATGAGAATCCCATGACCTCTGACCAAGAAAAGGAGAATCGTTCAGAGTCTGAGGACATTTACTCCCTGAGCCCTGGGCACTCCTTCAGTGAGGAGATCTCACCCCAGCTCTTTAACCCTGATTTCGTCCCTAGGCTAGACAGGTGGTGCCGGATCCTCTTCCCTCTTTCCTTTGGATTGTTCAATATTGTTTACTGGCTGTACCACATGTATTAGTTCCCAGCGCCTCAGAGTGGCAGGAACACTTTGCTTTGCTCCCTTCACAGTTCTGTTTGGTTTTGTTTTTCCCTCTTTCTTTTGATCATTTTATTTGGTAGTTATCAGTTCAACACTTCTCCTTATTATCATGAGGTGGAGATAGTTAGACCATGCATGCTTTGACTGGTAGGGAAGGAATTGAGGAATTAGGAGTCAGTATCTCATTGATTTCTTTTCTGACAAGAAGACTCATACCTTGTGAAACATTTCCAACAGTGGATAAGCATAGCAAAGCCCCTGGAAATGTTTAGCAGACAGAGAGGAGCCAAGTTGGGGAGCAAAGGAAGGCATTGAGCCTTGCTCCTAAACATTGCTTCGGTCTTTCTTTTCTGCCACTTTTAGGCACTGAAATTTCTTTTTCATTACTGCACTTTTTTGTTTCTTTTCCTTCCGAGGGGCCATGGCCCTTGCTCACTCTTTGCTTAGGGCTGTGTGTGAGAAAATTAAGTTGGGTTGGTCTGGGGTTCTCAGGGGAAGAGCTAGCCATGACTTGGAAATGCAGGAAACTGGCTGTGACAAAGTCAGGAAGTATTTGCAAGTGCCCTTTGCCCATGACTGTGGGTTGTATTTTGAGCTTGGCATTGTGTTCAGAGGGGAATTGGAAGGGGGTGGCAGGAGCTTGTGGCAGGCAGGGGTGATGTCAGGTTAAAGAATGCACCGGTTCAGCTGGCCACTTTGGAGAGATTAGAATTTATTCTCTTGCCTGTATCTCTGCTTCAGAATGCTGGACAGTAGGGACTCAAAACTTCTGTCAAGTCAGGAGTTAGCTTTCTATGAATTGCTGAGTTGCTCACTAGTCATGGTGTAAGCTCTTGGTGAAGAGCTAGGAAAGTACTAGGCTAGGAAAGTTCACACTTGCTATTTCACCATCTGATTAGAATAGCACATGAACAACTATTGTAAATCTATATACTAACCCTTTCTATTTGTCTAGCGGATAATTAAGTGTCAACGAGCTCACTGACCCATCACATCGTTGGAACCTCACAGGAGCCCTGTGAGCAAGGGAAGGCAAAGCACCTTGTCCCCAGTGTCCCAAGGAAAAAGTGGAACTCATATATCATGCTTAAAGACACTTGCTTTTCCTCCCTTTCCTCCTAACTCTCAATTGAAGCAGTCCCCTTTCTTCCCTCCCCTTTGCAAAATGGGGTGTGCTGGCAGAGCCTGCCTAGCTGTCGGGCTGCCCACCTTGTTCTACAGACCTAGAGCACCTTGGCAGGAAGAGGCCACTGATCTGCCAATGAGCATGAACCAAGCAAGTGGAGAGTGTGGACCCTGCCCACCCTGCTGGGCTGACAGAAGTAGGCTTAGCCCGCACACCAACTTGCCCAGCAGCAGCAGCTTACTGATGGAAGCCATGAGGGAGTGAGATTCACAAAGCACTCAACCTATGTTCCTCTTCCTCCTTAGGCAGCCTCTCCTGCAGCCCCTTACCTCCTACCTGCCTACTCTCCAAACTGTGCTTCTATGTCTGTGTGTGTATAACTGGGGTGAGTGTGTATGCATCAAAGTAGCAGTGTGTACATATAGCCATTTGAGAAGCTTAATAGCACTATATCTATTAGTGTAAATCTATTACTATTTGTGGAAGTGAATCTACAATGTACAGATACATGTGCCTGTGTACACATCCCTATGAATGTGTGGCTTTCGTGTGTATTTGCTTGTGTACACACGAGTAAATATTACATATGCGTGTGCATAGTAAGTATATGTCTATTCTTATCTAATTTGAATTGGAGTGAGGGAAAGCATGCCTGTCGATGGCCCTTCTAGAACTGCCAGAATTCCTTTGACCTGTTTACACATAGAGGAGGCCCTGTTTGGCTGGTCTAGTTAGTTGTTTCTTTCTAATTGCCCTGTTTGAGGGAGCAGGGCCTCCACTCCTTACCCTCCCTCCAAGCATCTGGACTGTCTCTTGGATACAGAGTGATCCAGAAGTGAATGTAGCTCTAAGAAGTTGTAATATAGTGCCTTGAGGTAGGAAGTGCTCACTCCATGGGATAAGCTATGAGTGCCTAGAATTTTGCTAATATTTCAGGGTGAGACCCTGAACAGTGCATTGGGAATATAAACACAGTGCAGATCTGGGTGGGAGGGCTAGAGAACTGGAGAGGAGGAGGCAGATGCCCTGTAGAGCCCATCCCCTTATCCCAATCATTGTATATAAGCCTGATGCATGTGGGGCGGTTGGCAGCCGCAGACCAGTAGACAAGGTGAGGATATGCTCAGGGGATTGGCTGCCAACAGCTGCATGCTGAGAACCAAAGGTGCCTTGGACTGTGGTAGTGAGCCCATTCAGGAACAGAAAGCACTTTAGTGACCCATTCTAGGGTGGTTGTTGGCTGCTGAACTCCAGTGGCAGGCCCCAAGTTCCCCCTTGAATTTGGAGTTCCAGAAATCTCTACTTCCACCTCCTCCAGGGAGAGAGTCAAAGGAATGAGAGGGAAATGCAAAGGAGCCTCAGGTACTGACTGCCTAGATTATAGCCAGCTTATTCTCTTCTACACATATAGCACAGAAGCACATAGGCACACTCATGTTCACACACATACACCTTCACACATGCATGGGTACACAAACGGGGCAATCTCCCTCATCAGTGTATGTGGATACATGCCCAGATGGTGTACAAACCCATATGTGACCATGCCTACACACACACACACTCACACTCACTCACTCTCTCTCTCTCTCTCTCTCTCTCTCTCTCTCTCTCTCTCTCGTAAGACAATGAAGAAAATGCATGCTGTCTCCATAATGTCTCAGATTACCTCTTCTCTTTTGGTCTCCTTGCACAGAGAGGTCCATGTTGAAGGGAGAGCACTGCCCCACATCTGTAGTTCCTGCCATGCCTATTGAAAGACTAGCTTCCTGGAGCCTACAAGTTGGTTAGTTGACTTGGGTTTGGGCTTCCAGGATCCTGGAGGGGCTTTCAACCCTGTGGCTCATGAGCAGTTCACTGGGCTGAAGTCATAAATGGAAATTGGAGCAGTGGGGGCAAAAAGAGGCAGTGATACACAGGAAGGCTTCACAGTATAGAGGAAAAGCAAAGAGGCCAGTTGTAAATATCCATGTAGCTAGATTTATTATACTTTAAAAAAGAAAAGCTTGCCCTAACATGCTGCAATGAGAGCAGTCGAACTCTACTGCAATTTGTACCCTGCGAAGTGAGGTGTCAAAGTGAGGTGGAGGTCTGGTAATGACACCTTTTCAGGAACTTCAATCTTCTGAGTTCGCCTTGGCTTGGGTCCTTCTAATTGACCAAAACTTGTCCTGCAAATTGCCAGATCTCCCCTTGCCATGTCTGTGTGTGCTCTGTTGTCCATGTCACTGTTGAGCCCCATCCTCTGCTATCTCCAGCTGGCTGCCTATGTCCCTTCCCAAACATCCCTCAAGACCAAGTGCAGAGCATTTGCCAGGTGTTTCTGGGAGTCAGCGAATCAAAGAGCGCTTGGTAATTTGGAAGTTTGGGCAGAGGAAAAGACCTTGCTGAGTCTGGAATGGAGCAACCCCACATTTACTCCTCTATGCACCTGTCCTTTCTCTTCTTCCCCTTAGAACCCCAGCCCCAGGAAGATGCCCCTGTCTGTCTCCCAGTGCCCTGTTGTGAGGATGTTTGACACGTTTCCTATCAAGTTCTCACCACTGCGGGGTGACTTTGCAGATGTAACAGATGATCCGTTGGGTCTTAATGGAGCTTGTCAAATGTATTCTTACAACTTGTGTCATCTGGTTAATAGCAAGGCTGCAACCTCTGCACATTTAGAGCTAAGTTTTGCTGAGACTGTGGCCATTCCTAAAGAAGTTTCTTTATTCTGTATAAACAACACCTAATCCTTTGAGCTATTAACTATTGAATGCATTCACTAAGCTCTCTACCTGCATGCCACCCTGCTGGCTCCTCCACGGCCAAGCATCAAAGGAAATTGTGTCTTGTCATACTGAAAGTGCAGTGTATTCGTGATTGTTGTACAATGTCCTGTGTTCAATATGAAATATAATATTATAGGTGTTAGGTTTTTTTGGGGGGGGTTATCTCCTTATAAAACGTCCTAGTTGGTCAGGGTCACCTCTGTGGACTGCATTTGTGTGAGACTTGGCACCCACTGTCTTGCCAGACTGCATGCGCAGGGTCAGTGCTTATCAGCAAAGTGGAAGCTGCTGGAATTGTTCCTGATATCGGACAGTGCTAGTGAGTAGCAATCTGGAAGCAGATGAATTACAGACAATCACACATGCAGGTCTTTAGTAGTTCTGGGCCCATGCAGTGAAAACCAAGAAAAGAGAAGAAGGACCAAGACCCAGGTCCCTTGGTTGGCCTGCCCTACAGAGGGACAGGGAGCAGCAGAGCCTCACCGTATGGCTAGGTGCCCTTTTTGGCCTCAAATGTATTTTTTTGTATAGGAAAGACCCTGACCAGTCCTGATTTTAAGAAAGTAAAACATGAAGAAATATAAAATTGTTTCTGAAAGATATTCTGGAGTAAAATTTTGTAAATAGTAATGGGGAAAAATAAAGATCAACAATAAAAAATACTCTGATGGGTCATTGTGTGTCCTCTCTGTTGGACTGGGAGGTACTGCATGGAACACCCTTCTGGGCCCAGAAGCCTCGGGCTTTCATCCCTTCACCATGGCTCTGCGCATCTACCTCCTCATACCCCAGGACATTTGAAGCCATGGTGTTCAGGTGAAAGGGAGTTAGAAGCAATAGAGTTGAAATAGTTTGCCCTTCTGCACAAGTCATTCTTAACCATTTGAAACAAAAAATGTAAGACAGAAAGCCAGTATGGTGCCCAATTACAAGGTAGACATTTAGCTCCATTTTATGGGGTCAGACAAGTGGTAAATGGTGTCTTTATAAAGCAATGAACTTGTTTTTAAAATGCCATTTGCCATTATGGATGTGCAGAGTGGAGAGCAAGAAAGCCTTGGTGGGTGGGATGGTTTAAGTCGTTTGCAGAGTCACAGTGAAATGTCCTACTGATGATTGTGGCCCACACTCATCAATGCATTGCCACCCCTTTTGACGAAAACTTTAGGTTGACAAGAACATTAACCCAGTGACTCTTCCTCTATGGCCCCTTCTGTGCCCAAAGTGGGCCAGCAGGGCTGTGCCTACTTACTGCAAGGATCCTCTACTCATTTGCCCATAGCTCAAAGCTAGGACCTACAGGATAGAAGAGTTTCTTGCTATCTTTTCTTTTGCAGGGTTCTAACTTTTCCGTGGCCCATTGCAAACGGCCTCGTTCCTCTGGCTTTCCCCAGACGCCCTCATTGGACCTGGGCTCCCGACTCCACTTGCCCACTAGTACCCAACCCAAGGCCTCATTAGCTGCACAGATGCCCTTGAAGAATCTGTGTTCCTTGTCTCTCATCACACATTAGGACCAGCAGCTCCTGCTGTCCTGCTGGGTGAACTTATAGTCAGCTCCATATGACTTCCCCAAAGATCCCATTATGATTTCTGAAAGCACAAATCCCCCCTTAAACTCCAGGCAGTTTCCCATGCCACAGGGGGTCACAGATACCTAGGGATATTAGATTTTCCATCACTGCAACAAAATACCCAACACTCACAACATAAAGGAGGAAAGAGGTATATATGATGAACAGTTCCAATGGGTTCAGTCCATGGTTGGTTGGCTCCAAGGCAGAACAAGCATGGTGGAAGGACACAGTGGCCAGGAAGCAGAGAGACAGAGACAGAGACAGACAGAAACAGATGGGGGGGCGGTGAGCCAGGGACAAAAGGATACCTTTCCAAGTCACGCACTCACTGACCTGCCCCTTCTCACCAGGCCCCACTTATAAAAGCACTCTGTTCAGCTATGAAATCATCAATAGACTAACCCACTGAAAATTATAGGACCCCATGATCCAATCACCTTCTAAAAATCCCACTTCTGAACACATGACACTTTAGGGGACATTTTAGATCTAAACCATAACACTAAGAAAGGAGGAAATGCAGCTGGACGGGGGCAGCTGCGGGGCTGGAGCTTGTTGCCTTGTGCTCTTTTGCTCATTAAATCCTAGCCAACAAGCCAGCTTCTAAAGGTGTCCCATGACCACACGTGGAGCTTGTGGCCCTTTGATGGGCCTGACACTGCCAACTGGACTGTCACGTGCTGCCTGTATGACTCTACAAGTACCCTAAGGGTTGGGGTGACTAGAAAAGGATGTGCTCGCCCTCCCCTTCCTAGCTTTCCATAGCTTTCCAGGTTTTCAGCAAAGCCTCTCTTGCTAGCCTCCCATTTTCGCCTGGCTTCATCTATGCCCTGGTAAGACCTCCAGGGAGGCCCTGGTACTGCCATGGTGCTGCTTCCCCAGTTCAGGTCTCCCCCAAGCTCTTCTGACCAGAAGCTCAAGGGGTATACTGAAGTATTTAAAGCAGATTTGCCTCATTTCTTAACAACGTGGAGCATATTTTTATTATCAATATGATGTAAAGCAATAAGGGATAAGAGATTCCTTTGCCGTGGAACTCCAATAAGTTTCTTCCCAGTAGTCTTGAAGTAGCTTGGGGACTTCCCAGGGAGTCAGGATTAAAATTTGAACATGAACTATTCTGACATCCAGGCTGATCTGCTCCAACAGAATCCAATTCTGTGTCCTTAACTCAAGAACACTCTTATTTCAATTCTTTCCTCTATGTCTATCTTTCCCTTTGTTGCTTCCTTATCTAGGTCTAACCAACTGTATAGACCGCAATTCTGACTTGAGAGAAAATGGAAAGGGCCAGACAGTTTTCTCAAGGAAGAGCAAAGGGAGCAGAAACATCAGCTATTAAGTCTCCCTCTAATGTCACATGAGAAGAGGTTAAAATTCTGGCGGAGCCGGGACACCCCAGCCCCCCAGGCTGTCTGGAATACTGTGCACCCTCAGGCAAGGGCCTGTTTGTTTGGGAGCCTCTTGCAGTCTTTGTCTTTCCTGGTCCCTGACCAGCTAACCAGCCCATTCTACCCCTTTGAGGGCCAGGTGTGCCCCTCAAAACTATGGCCATCAGGGAAGATTTTACTTTTGCCACTCTCTCCCAAGACCCTTCCTGAGCGTGCCTGAGATGCAATGCCATCCATTCTCAGTTTGCACCCACAGAGTGAACCAGCCCATCTGTAAACTAGTTGTGGCCTTTTCCCTCCTTCAACTGGTTAGAAAGGAAATCCCCATATGGCCAAAGGTGCAAGATGGGGAAAGAACTGGTGTAACTGGTGATATGTGGGCCCAAGTTATCTGCCCACATAAGCATTTGTGCCCTCTGATCCTCCTGGGGCTGGAACAGGCTGTTAGCATCATCCCTGCTACAGGAGAAGCATGGCCTCTGCTCAGATACAGCTGGGGCTGACAAGCAACTCTGCCCCGACTGCAAGTTCTCCTACTGGAGATCTAAGAGATGCACCTACTTACCCTGCCTCCACAAAAACATACTTTTCTGTTGCTAATGTTGGTCTATCTCCCCAGCGCATTTTTACCTGATCAAAGACCCTCTCTTGTTACTCTAATTGGGCATTGGCCAGAGATCAGGGAGGGCTCCTTCCTGACACACCCTCTATAGAGGAATATATGGATCCTTTGGTATGGGAAGTGAGATGCCCACCTTCTTCTACATGAGTAGAAAGGGCTCTGCCCCATGATACTGCCAGAGAATGGCGAACTACGTGAAAATGCCCGATTTGGTCCTGGATCACCAGTGAGGTTAGGTGCTGCTGTGCTGATAAGCCCAAAATCCCGTGACTCAACCAAAAAACCATGTCTGTTTCCTTCGTACATTGTATCCCATGCAAGTCATCAGATACACTTCTGCTCTTTGTAATCACTCAGGGACAAGCTGACAAACGCTTTATCAATGTGTGCTTCTATAATTATTGTAGCAAGGGAAAAGGAGCTAGAGGAACTTGCATTAGTAATTAAATTCTACAGGTGGATAGGGCACATCTCACAACTCATTAGTCAGAACTAATAACATAGCCCGATTCAACTATAAGGATCCAGGACATTCCACCTGCTGAGCACCCAGGCGGACTGATGAACCATATGGTTGACAATCATATGTGGTTTCCCTGATTCCCCCAGAGATGCTGCTTGCTCTTCTTCTCACTTACAAGATATTCATACCCTCCTTATGTAATCTTCTCATCTTTAACCTTAACACACATGCTAGTAACATACGTATATACATACAAGCCAGTAACATTCATACAAACAAGCGAAGTTCCAAAATATTGCCATTCATCAGTGATAGTGGCTGAAGTTTCTGAAGGAAGGCTTTCTGGACTCTGAAGGAAGATTTTACCTCCCTATAGATAAGACTCCAATTTGCCTTACCAGCCACTATAGACAAGCCATCAGCCCCATGTGGGGTAGTTGCCACCAGCTGAAGGTCACGTACTCATGGCACCAGAATGTGGGTACTATGTCTGGTGGGAGCTTCATTCAGTCATTTTTCTCATCCCTTACATCCAAAAAGGGCAAACCTTTTCCTTAGTCATTCCAGATAGGCTACACCACCAAAACCCCACCGGTCTTGGGGGCCAGAAACTAAAACCCAGCCCCCACCTGTCTCCAGGTTTGGGAATAGAGCCTTCTGGTTTGAGCTTTCCACCATTACTTTGCAGTTGTGAATTAGTCAGGGGTTCCTGGTCCTTTCAGAGAGAAAGACAGAGAGACAGAGATGGGGGGGGTCGGTTCTTATTAGGAGAATGGGCTCATGTGACTGTGGAGGCTGAGAAGTCACATGCTGAACCATCTGCAAGCTGGAGAATCAGGAAATCCATCCCCCTGGCTAAGTCCAAGTCCAAAGATTTCAGAACCAGGGAAGTGGATAGTGTAACTATCAGTCTGAGGCTGAAGGCCTGAAAACCAAGGTGGTCACCAGTGCAGGTCCTGGAGTGCAAAAGCCAGGAAACTTGGAGTTCTGAGGTCTAAGGGCAGAAAAAGCGTGCCCCAGCCCCAGAAGGCAGAGCAAGAGAAATTCACCTTTCCTGTGCTGTTTGGTTCTAGCTGGACCTCAGCCAAATGGCTGCTGCCTGCCTACAGTCGGTAAAGGTGAGGCCTCTTTATTCGGGCTGCTGGTTCAAATGCCAGACTCTTCTGGAAACACTCACAGGCACACCCAGAAATAACACTTTACCAGCTATCTGGGTGATCCCTTAATCCAATCAACCTGACACCAAAAGTAGCCATCGCAGGTTGCATACTCCATTCCAGCTTTAAAAAAAAAGTTAACTGCGCCCAAAACACTACAGCCAAAGCTGAGGAAGGAAACAAACTTCACAACAGTTGAGCTGGTCCTGGGCAGGCTGGATCCAAAGATGACCCAAACTCTCAATGAAAACCCACACACCAACCTGTTTTGGAATCCTGGGTCTCTTGAGTTCTGCTGAGGACCCTGTCAAGAATGAGGGCAACTGAAAGGAAGTGTGTGGAGCAGAAACAGAGCAGGCACTGATTTGGCCTAGCAACTACCTATGGGGAGATGAGATGTTCAAAATGGAGCTCTTCCCCCTACAGGGCCTCCTTAGCTCATCACCCCACTC